TGTTGTTATTCACTTTGTTCCTACTTCTTTGTACCTTGACAAAGGTTTAGCATTACCCAAGAGCCACCAACCTGTGAAGCAGGATGTAATAACCATCACCAATTACAACTTGAGGGTGACTTTATATGAAATTAATTGGTCATTTCTGATCAATGTCTGATAGATCCAAATCATCAAGAAACAGACTGAATGCAGGCAGAAAACTCATCCTCCCTTGAACAGATTGAATGTCCAGTGATGGAGAGAAACTTGCACTCTTCAGGTCTCAGCATCTTTCTCACAGCCAACCTCTTCAGAACTGTCAGTCTGGAAGCTCCAACCAGAATTTAACTCGCTTAGAAGAAATACATAAAACTCATTTTTAATTCCTTATCCTTCATTTCAGCAATGAGCTTTTACACTGCCGCACTCTGGTGAGATTACTTCTTTTTTTATTCTAATATCTCCCTTCCCCACTGCCAGTTTCGTTTCTCCATAGTGCCTTGGGTGAGCTGTTTTCATCTACAGTGTCCTTAAGGACATTAGTTTGCAAAAGGCTCCTTGCAAGACAGAATTATACAGACAAAAAGAAGTCAGAAGCACTTACAGGAAAAGAGAGATTATACTGGATGTCTTCATCCTGACACTTATATGGAGCATGACATTCTTAAAATATTAGTAGAACATTGGACACCAAGAAAATAACGAAATAAAAAAATAATGAAAAAAAAAAAAGATGTGTAGATGCATAAAGGAAGATTAAAACCCAGAAATGACAGGGTGGTTTAGGAGAAAAGATCTAGTAAGGCAGTAATACTATCACATGGAGAAAGCAGTATTGTGCTTTATAACAGATGAAAGCTTCTGCCTATCCTATGAAAGAGATAAAAAAAGAAAAGCAATAAATACTGGATAATCCAAACTCATTGTTCAAGCCATACATTGCTCATTCCCTGGCAGCAGCCCAAGGATAAACATCAGTGGTATGTATGTAAAGGCTGCTTTCATAAATACTTTAAAAATACTCTTCTGTGTCAGAGCAGTAAATAATGCCATTTATTAAAAGAGATAGAATATTTGAATTAAGGTCACTTGCTAACACAAAGAATAGAGGCATCAATCTAAACCTGCTCAACCTTGGCATCAGCAGATTCTGGTTTTTACCACTCAAAGAAACATTGACTGAAATATGTAAAGAGAAAACAGTTCAAGCCTGTGACCCTCTCATGAGCTGCTGCTTCTGGTTCAAGAATAGTTTACAAGGACAACAAAGAAACAAAGTAAAACAAAAAATCTTCCCCAAAATCAGCAGTTCCACATTTGGCTCTCATCTGCGTATGGGGAATATTAAAAACTTCTTTTTCTCAGTGAAACATAAATTTCTTACCAGATATATAAGTAAATTAAGCATAATGTATTGTTTGTCTTTTGTGGCACTCAAGCTGAATGCAGCAGCTTTGAAAGTGTTTTACCCTTGGTGTAAATGTATACAGCCTTGTACATGGAGAAACCTACCACTGGTAGGGTTAAGTTGCCCAATTTTTGATTGAAACTGTGGGATTTCTTTAGTATTGACTAGTAACTCAGTGCAAAAGTAGAGAAAATGTAAGAAAGAATAAACACCAAAATAAATATTTTACTTGTTTCATGTGAATTTTCTTCCATGCATAACTTCACAGGCTGCAAATGAAAATGCTGCATGCTGAGATTATTCCAATGTTCAAATGGAAGAGTAGCAGAAGGTCTTCAGAGGAAGAGAATTTCACCAGCTAACCAGTCTTTGAGAAAAACAAACAAACAATTTTTTAAAACTGATTCTACTGGAATTATGTTCACATTTCTTAATTTTAATTACTGCAGATGATGTTCACCATCTTTATGAATGTCTCTGCCTCCCAAACCTACCCTACAAGGTTGTTACCCTCTTGGAATCAAAAATTACATCCTCTAAGGTTTGTGTATCAGCATCCCCACCACTAAATGTCAGTTGCTATTTTTGGTGTCATGGAACAGTAACCCTACAGAAAGTTGTAGTCCTTACCACAGGTCCTTAATTTAACTACTGATGATTAAAATACCTTCAATAAAATTTACCCCTCTGCTGTTGCTGTATTAATTATAGGGGGCTAAGGGGGAAAAATGAACAGTTGTTCTCATTACTAAAACCAAATAATCACAGAATCAATTAGGTTGGAAAATACCTCTGACATCATCGAGTCCATCCTATGACTGAACATCGGCCCTGGATGTGAGTTGAGCAAGTTCCACATCCAGTCTTTCCATAACATCTCTGAGTATGGTGACTCCACCACCTCCCTGGGCAGTCCATTCCAGTGTCTAATCACTCCTTCTGTGAAGGAAGAAATTCCTTCTAATGTCCTACCAAAACCTTCCCTGGCACAGCTTAAGACTGTGTCCTATTGTCCCACTGCTGGATGCCAGGTAGAAGTGCCAGAACTCCACCTGGCTACAAACTCCTTTCAGGGAGTTGTAGAGAGCAATAAGGTCCCCCCTGAGCCTTCTCTTCTCCAGGTTAAACAACCTCATAAGCAAAATATACAAGAAAAAAAAATTAAAATATTTGTTTCATAACAGGGCACTGTATCTATGAACAGACCTTTAAGAGTTATTCCATGTCTATTTTTTTCCTTCCTCATCAGAATGATCCCTGCATCAAGCTCATAACACCTGGTAAGTCTACTGATGTGCTTCTTTTAGAAAATGACTGATTCCAAAATGTCAAGGGATGAAATACCCACTGTCCTTCTAAGTATAATGTTCCAATGCTTAATTACATTCATCCTTAAAAATGTTTCCCTTCTTTCTGTTCTGAATATTCTACCTTCAGCTTCCAGCCATAGTGTCTCATTACACCTTTTTCTTTGTTAGATCAAAGAGGTCTCTTCCCTCAGAAATCTTTCTGTGTTAATACTGATCATCCATAATTCTTTAAGTTGGATTTTGATGTTATTGAAGCTGATTTGAGTTTTCGTAATTTTTTTTTTTTTTGTTCTTACACTTAATGAATGCAGGAATGTTAAGTTGAAATGCCTGACATATCTCATATTGCTTTATTTTAGTCTCTGCACCTGTTTGACAACCTAAATGACTGTTGATAGTTTGGAGGATTTCTAAGGGTCCTTGTCAGTACAGTTGTTTTTCTAAAATGCTTTTCCAAAACCTGCAAGACCCTGGAAACTTTCTTTTTATTGCCATAGCAAATGATCTGGTCATGGGATAATGTTTAAAATCCCCCTTTTTCTGCCTGAAGTGATATTAAACTCTGGGAAAGGGATGCACTTCAGGAATAAAGGTCAATCCTTAAGACTTGGTATGTAACAGGATACGGAAAATAGCTGAGAGTTATATTATGAAATTCAGCTGGTCAGATAATTTTCAGAAACTCCTTTGAGGCAACCTCACGCTGACCCACTTTTTCGCTGTCATTTCCTCAATATGAATTGATAACACATCCTCGCCCTTGCAGAATTACCATATTGACAGAGGAAATTTAACTCCCTGCATGATTAATGGCCGAGGCAGCGCTCTATCAGACACGCAGCACGCACTGGGATATTCGGTGCGTCTGACAGCCCAAGAGTGATGATCCTTCAGATGGGTGGAAAGCAGAGCGTGACGAAATCGCGGTTGCCGATGCCTCCTGCTGCATCCGTAAACCGGAGTGACGGGGCTCCTGACCTCGTCACTTACACCAGGGCAGATCATTCGTATAAACAAGTTATTCAGGTGCTTTAATGCACTTTGTGGTTGATTAATAAGGCTTCCCTTCACCTCTTGCACACCAGGTGTTAGAAGAGCGCTTGAGAAGGGAGGGAAAGCAGAGGATGGCCTTGCGGGTGGAGCGACGGGCTGGAAATTTTGGTTCTTTGCAGAGCTTTCCTACAGACCTTTAGTTCTAAACTGGGAAAATGGCATTTTTGCTAAGCTTTCTCCTTAAGGAAGTGTCATGCATGAATATGCCTGCAGGTACCACAGAAATACTCCAGAAGTGCCAATTTCATGGCAGGCTTTTTGTAAGCGATGGTGTGAGCCTCGTGCCGAGCAGCACATCAGCCTCATTTTTAAACCAGTTCAGCTGGTATTTTCTCTTCTAACTACAGATGCCTGTTCTCCTAGCAAACCATTAAATAGCTTTCATCATACTTTAGGTAATTTTTCTCCTTTCTTTGACTTATTTTGGAATTGGAAAACATGGGAGAAAACAGAGCAGTTTCTGTTACAGCCAGAGCTGATCTGGAACGTTTTACTGTGCATTCATAGGGAAATGAGGATTCATGATAAAGGCAGTGTTTTATTGAAGCAATGATTTAAACTAATGTTTTCCAAAATAGCAACTTGTTCTATGCCCATCTGTTTAACTTGTAAGGAATGGATTTTCAAAGGTCATTCCAGGTATCCTAGGATTTCAAGTTGTCATCTGTTTCTGAAGTATAAGGCAGGGAAGTGATTCCAAAGCAGGGTTGTATGATTTCTAGGTTATTCCCATGGTGCAGGGAAGTCTTTAACTCCAGGGGACTCTATCTAAGCCTGTTATAGAGCCATGGTGTGCCTGGCAGGATGTGCCTATTCCTTTTCCTGAAAATAACAACCCCCTGACTTGATTTTACTTTGCTAAAGAAACTTTTAGGTTTTGTTTGCCTTGGGTTTGGGGTTTATTTTAGAAATTTTGAGTCTATGTTTCAATTTAGAGCAAATCTACTTAAATAATTCTTGGTTATTTCTACTGAAATGCAGCATTAATGAGGTAGATAAGATTCTTTATTCATTTCACAGTCTTTATTTCTGTCCTTTTCTTTAGTCTTAGATTTCAGAAAGTCTGGTTAATTCTCTTGTTTTGTCTTTCCTATGGTTTCTTGGCACCATTCAAAGTCAAAAGAGGACATTGCTGAACAAAACAATAAAATCTGTTTTTAAACTACAGTTTCAGCTAGAGAGAGAGAGAGAGCTTAGAAAACTGTCAGGATACCTGTTCTTGTTAATTTAAAAATTAGATCCCTTACCTATACAATCCAGGGCATTTAGGGAGGTTTTTTGGACCCACATTTCTTAAAAGAGCTGTAAGAACAAGTAGAATGTATTCTGCAATCATGTAGTAAGCATTGTTTTACATATTTTTTTCAGTTTTATTTAATTTCATATTTTGCTTAACTTGTTTGTGCATTAGCAATTATATCAAAGCAAGAGTGAAGCACTTTGGTGTTTTTGCCTTCTTCACAACAGCTGAATTATATGTGAAGAAATATGGCTCTGCAAATTAGGCTCCCCCAACTTATCCAGGCTTTCATATCGTCCTTAGTAGTTTACTGTTCCTTCCACAAACCATACAATGTGCTAAATGTCCCCCAGCAAAGTTCTCACTCCACCCCCCTCACTTGACAGAAGCCTTACGATTAACCAATGAACCAAACTAACTGGAATTTATTCAGTACTTCACAGAAATGCAAGAGGAGGAAAAAACAGATGGTCCTCTTGGTTGAAAGAACAAAAATGACTTCTGGGAAAGGCTGTCCATTTAGTGCTCCACTTCTCCCTATCCAAGTCTGTACATATTTCCCCTCTGGGACAAAGCAAAGCTCTCTTTCCTCCTAAGAGCATGAGGTATCTTGTGTCTACAGTTAACGGGCTCACAAATATCTTACTAACTGTGGTGGCTGGTAGAGCAGTGAAAATCAGAAGTATTGTCTTTTAGTCCTTTGGTCCATCTCTGGATGGCAGGGAAACAGAGGAAGAGGAACTAAGCAGTGTTGGGCTGCTCAGTGTTGCACTGAATCGCTGCTGTCTTTGCTGCAACACATCCTCCTGCCCTGGGAGATTGAGTGATTGGTGTGTGGTGAGCACTGGGCAGGACTGACCCATAGTTACCTTGTTTTCCTGCTCCCAGATTTTTTTTCTGTCTGGCTGTTTGCACAACCTGTGCCTGACACTGCGCTAAACGTCGTCCTTCAGTGTTCTGCACAAATACTCAGCTGTGTATTAAGCTCTTGGAGACTTATGTATTGATCTTCACATCATCACGAGTGTTTTATCCAGCAGTAACATCGTCTGATTAGCGGTGCTCTTTGTCTTCTCTGATAGTTCTGTTTCCTCGCTCTGTGGTGGCTGAATCGTGACGGACTCTAAACACCCTGACTGCTGTTTGTGCGGTCGATATTCATTTGCACAGTCAATATTCCTGGTGCTGTTGGAGTCAGGGGTCCCTAATGTGGTCCTTGCCTTATGCAGCTTCCAGCACAGGAGGGGCCTCGCTTTCCTGGAATCGTCATTACTCTTCTCTGTGATCTTCTCATCAAGAAACTGCTGTGTTTGGCATGTTCCTGGCGATGTAAGCGGAGAGGAGCTCAGACCAATACCTAGATGAGAACACAGCTTGATTTTGCAGTTAATAATACGACTGGGACTGAAACCAGAAGCTTGTACTCTCTTTTAGCCCTTATCCTAGCTCTGCCTTTAGGTAGATCTTCCTGTTACAATATGAGTGAAGCCGTTAATTCAGTTGCTACAGAGAGTGGGAGACATCTGTCAGCACAGATGATTTACTGCAGTACCACCCTTTTTAAAACCAAGAATGTATAAATTAATATTTCTGATTCAGTTGTGCAATCTTTGTTGACAAGTGCTGTCTCCTTTGTGACAAGTATTGTAACACCTCCCTTGAAAAAGGAGTACCTGTCTTAGCAGGGCTGTAGTGAACACAGTCTTGCTGTCTGATGTGGTTTAAAAAGATGTGACTGTTTCAACTGTGACTACAGGTAAAGGAGAAAGAACGATCAATATTACACTAAAAGTATTCACATCTAATGTATAGTCTTCTCATCCTGCTCACCACCACAGAGAACAACTAGTTTATAATAGAGTCATCCAGATTTGTTGGCAGTATATCAGGTACTTTGGTACAGGGAAGTAGGTCCAGCTGCACCTGAACTGCTCGCTGTCTTGTGCAGAAACTTGTACAGGTTTTTCCTCTTGGAAAAGGAAGGTGAAAAAATCCAGCAGCCTTTGAAAAATCTGGAAGGGGAATTTCATTATGGTTTGCAACCAAATTGGTCTTGTGTTGTTTAGAGAAGCTTCTTGGTGAAATCGTTCCTGAAGATGAGGTGAAGTGTCATTTCTCTCCTGTGATACCCAACTTTACATCTCTGGCCCTGGGGAACCTGCAGCTGCTTCTGTGCTGTGGAGGAATGATTGATACATGTACAGTGTGAGATGTCACGACCATGCCATCCTAAACCCTGCAAATCGAGTGACAAAAGTTGCATCTCCATCAGGACCCTGCATGTGTGACAATTTCCTCCTGCTGAACCTTCATTTTTCCCAACGATGAGTCACATCATGTTTCTGTGAGGTCGTGATCATCAGCCTCAGCAACATTTTCTGGCCTATTTCTTTAAGTTTTCTCATTCAATTTCATTAACCTGGTAATGAGGGTAAAAAGTAAGACAGGTTTTAGTGTATACCAGCAAGTGTGTGGGTAAGGCAGACAATTCTATTTCTAGTTCAACCCTGCAAGTAATATCTTGCATTACAGAACTCATGTGATTTGAGTTACATGGAGGAATTTATTGTGCCATAACAAATTCTGTGCAGTGCTGAAGATGAGAAGTTAGAAAGGTAAATAAAGCAAAAACGAAAGCAAAACTAAACAAAACAAAAAACAAACTAAAGAGGAGAATTGGAACAAAACTGGAAAATTCATTCCATCAGCATTTTCAACTCTACAGGGCTTTTAAAATTTTACAGAAAATTTTAATTTGAAAAGAAAAAAAGAAAAGAAAAGAAAAATCCAACCACGAATAGATGAATGCATAAATTGGCATTTTAATCTGTGTTCACATTGAAAGTGTTGTAGACCCTCTGAGATCTCACAGCACTTTGGGAATTAGCAGCAGCAGGGATGAAGAGATTGGCATATGATGAGAGGGAAAATATTAAACTGAGAGTGAGAAATAAATTGAAGGTTGTCATAACGTGATAAAAATCAAGAGAGCAGACAAAGAGAATCACATACAGTGTTTTTCCATGTTGACTAAGAGGCACATCTCATGATGTCAGTTTTAACATCTGAATGGAAAGGTGTCATTAAAAATATTCCTCAAATATACAGAGGGGAAAAAAAAAGAAAAAAAGAGATATAATTGCCCTGGTCTCTGGTCTGATGTCACCTTTTAGATATTTACAGGGTTAATTTATAATGCAGTGTTGCTTATTGATCACGGCCATCACAGGACCCATTGTAAGGATAATTCAGCAAAGAGAAAAAAGTTATCTCTTCTCTGTCTCCTTGAAAGGTAGTAAAGGAAGAGTCTATTTAATTTATAACAAGGAAAAATCAGGCTAAATATTAGGAACAAAAAGACTGTCAGGGCTGTGATAGGCTGGGATATATTGACTAGGCAAGCCTTGGAGTTGCTAACACGGGAGGTTGTCAGGAACAGACTATACAAACATCTCTTAGGGATGATGGGAATAACTGAACCTGCTTTAAAGGAGATAGAAAAACTGCTTTTTTTTTGGCCCTTCCAACCATATAGTTCCATATTTCTTGGTGATCTGGAATAAAAAGGAATGCCATCTGAGAATTTAAATTAAAAAAAAAAAAAGAAAAAGAAAAAGACCAGAAAAAGCAATGTAATTTATTCTCAAGTACTTTCCTTCCCTTCACAGTTCAGGAGCATCTACTTTAGCAGTCCATCTCCATGAAATGCCTCTCTTTGCCTCATTTCTTCCTGAGGAGGAAAACATTAACAGAGAAGTTCTTTCCTTGAGAGTTCCTGCAGAAAGAACACACAATCCATACGACTATGAGGCTTCTGGCACCCTCACACTGTCTGGGTGTTTTGTCAATTCTCCTTTTCTTAGTGTAGAGGGATGCCATTTCATTTTTTTATTTCTGGTTCCTGTTCAAAGTTTGAAAGATGCAGTCCCTGTAGCATGTGTTCATTTACCAACCATTTTCCCTTAGTGCTGTATCTTCATTTTTTTTTTGCCTGTGTGAGAGCAGATTCCTCTTTCCAAGGCACTTTTTTGAATCTTGGTCACTCTACTCATCCACATGAACAAATCCTAGGTGCTCTGCATTGCAGTGTTCTCTTTGTAGCCTCTCTCTCTTGATTAACGGCATAGGGAAAGTGGATCTAAACTTTTTTACTTTGCAGTACATTTAAATTAATGACATATAGTATATGGTGTGATAAACAGTCTGGGTGTGTTTATATCAGAGAATTGGCTGGCACCTGACATACTTTTGGTGCGTTTTTAAAGGGTTTTAGTTCTTAATTTAAACCACCACAGTGAAAGCAAGTACTTTAAAAAAATAGCTATTGGACATGCAGTTCTACATTTGCCAGTTCAACATGTTCATGCTCCCCAAAACACTCCTCCTTTAATGTTGTTTTCTTCCAGGGGAATTTATGAATGGGTAAAAATTTTGCATAAAATCAAAGAATCTTTAATGTTGGAAAAGACCTCTAAGAACATTGAGTCTGACCATCAACCTGACACTTCCAGGTCCACCACAAAACGTGTCCCTAAGCACCACATCTGCACGTTTTTTGAACACCTCCAGGGTCAGCCTGTTCCAGTGCTTCCCCAATCCTTCCTCACATGACCAAGTTCTTTGTTCCAGATGATGTCCAGCCACCCCTGCAACCATCACAGATTTCAAATCCTTCTCTTGGCAGCATTGCTGAACTCCACTGTTTGCATTGCATGTTCTCAAAGGGAAAAACAGTGGGGCTGTGGTTTGACAGTTCTCAATTGTCTACCCATCTCTGCCCCAGTCTTCTATGGCTTCAGGAAAGATTTGCTCCTCAGCTTCTGCCTTTACACAACAGTGAAAATAGTATTGATGTAGAAGAGTCCTATGGTAAAAGTACACCTATGAAATATTTCTCAGCCTTAGGATAGCGAAGACTAGATCAAGTCTAAGTCACTAATTATAGATTACCTAGAAGGGAAAGAATAATTTTTATTGAAATTCACTCTGTGCTCTGGATGTATGAGGGGAGAAGGAATGCAAGACAGTTTCCATCCAGAAATGTTTTTTTTTTCCCCAAAACCTTGAAGTGTTCTATCTATATCGATCCAGGTTTTCTGCTGTGGTTAGAAATAGTGCACAATCTTTAAAACACACTTAGTGTCCACAAATTGGCTGAGTGCAGGGTATATCATGCCAACATTTACACTCTTTTACTGCAGTGCTTCGAGTCCAGGACCCAGCTGTATGTCAGAAGAGTAAAAAATGGATTGGAATTTCATGGCTCTCCAAGCAATATGGTAGCACTACAATACTCATTGGGGGGATATTGGCTCGGTACTTGCTGGTGTTCATCCCTAAATCACCACCTGTGTGACTGATAAGGGAACAATACCTGTGGGCTGTATTGCAAAGAATTGCCATTCTCGACTGCACATCACTAAATGTATGGATTCAATGCACAGAGTCTGGAGATTTTACCACTAATTCAGAAAGACAGCAATCTACAGAAGGAATTCAGGCTTGAAGGTGGGCAGTTGCCTGATCAATTTGTGAAATCACAAATAGACCATTTTGTTTTCAGGGTGTTTTGTTTGGATTTGTTTTCTTTTTACCTGCTGTACAGACCAGCAAATCTGTTCTGATTGCATCCTTTCTGTGCAACCATTCTTCCCTGCAAACACTCTCTGACTATTTGCAGATTTTTTTGTGAACAGTTTACAAAGGAAAAAATGTTAAGTGAATGTGACTTTGCAGCTAAAGCCATGTGAAAGTCAGCAGATTTTGTCCACTGGGATGTGAGCATGCACTGCAATTTGGGTTTGGTTTGCATAGAA